TCGGCGGGTCTTGGTATTTGGATCATTATCTAGATGGCATTAAATTAGGAAAATAAAAAAATATATTAAAAACAGAAAATGGGTATGATATTATTATTCCAAAATAAATCATTTTTTATCCATCCACGTCGGTTTTCTTCTAGAAGCTTTTGGCTTTACTGAGAACCCCACAGTCTGGGACCGAAGGACACGAACCCTGTTCTCGTTTCCACACGTCGTCAACCCTTATCCTTTTCCTCTTTAAAACAACCAGTCAAACCCTCTTCTCAACGTATCCTTTAATTACCATTAAAGCAAAGCAAAAATTAAGAAAATAAAAAAGCTAAAAATTTATTTAAGAAAAACCCAGTCAAAACCAGCATAACTGAACTGATAACCATCTTGCACCCGAGATTTTCGGTTCGATTTGTTTCGATTTTTCTTAACCCAGAAAAAACAGATTTGGATATTTTAAAGTTCAAAATTTATTTTTGAAAAAACCCAGCCAAAACCAGCATAACTGAACTGATAACCATCTTGCACTTGAGCTCTTCGGTTCGATTTCATTCGATTTTTCCTTAACCCAAAAAAAAACAGATTTGGATATTTTAAGTTTCAATTTTAAAATGCCTAAATTTCCCAAATCTGTGTGCGGCGCATGGCAACCGTTGATTTACACCCCAGGCTCCATCCATCACTTTCTGTTCGCTTATAAATAGCCGAGTGAGTGAAAGCCCACCACACCACCCATCTTTTGAAACCTTCTAGACAAAAAATTTCTAACTTTTATCGCCCAAAAATAGAAAAGAAAAAAAAACCCAAAAAAATTGCAAATGACCGAGTTAATACCTGGTCTACCAGAGGAACTCGGGCACGAGTGCATGACTCGTTTGCACTACTCGACTCACCGAGTCGCCTCACGAGTTTGCCACCGCTGGCAGGACTTGCTTCAAAGTCGGGACTTTTACAACCACAGAAAGCAATCCGGGCGCACCCACAAGCCCGCTTGCCTCGTCCAGGCGCTTCCGGTTCAGACTGCGGTGGACGAGACCAAACCGGCTGGACCGCCCGTTTACGGCGTCTCGGTTTTTGACCCTGTCAGTGGGAGCTGGGACCGGGTCGACCCGGTTCCGAAATACCCACATGGGCTTCCGATGTTCTGCCAAGTGACGGCCTGCGAGGGCAAGCTTGTGTTGATGGGCGGGTGGGACCCGGCGAGTTACCAGCCCGCTACGTCGCCGGGGGCCACGACCAGAACAAGAACGCGTTGAAATCGGCGAGGGTCTACGACGTGAGGGAGAACGAGTGGAGCGAGTTGGCTGGGATGAGTCGGGAGCGAGACGAGTGCGAGGGGTTTGTTTCCGGGTCGGAGTTTTGGGTCGTGAGCGGGTATTGTACGGACAGTCAAGGGTGCTTCGTGGGATGCGCTGAGGTTTATGAAATCGGGTCTGGTCGGTGGAGGCGGGTTGAGGACGCGTGGCGTGCGGGTCAGTGCCCGAGGTCTTGCGTTGGGGTTGGGAAGGATGGGAAGCTGTTTTGTTGGGGCGACTGTGACTCGCGGGTTGGGGTCGGGACCAGCGCGGTTGAGTTGGGCCCGTGGGCCTTGGTATCAGGGTCGGCTTACCAAGGCGGGGCGCAAGGGTCATTTTTGGTTGAAGGGCAAAATGGTAAATTGAGGAACGTGGAAGCTCCTGATGAGTTCTCTGGGTTCGTGCAGTCCGGTTGCTGCGTGGAGATTTGAGATTTTCAATTTTCGAGTTTAGAAAAAGAAAATTGAGGGTTTGTTGTCTTTTGTGGCTTTGTTTTTTTTCCCCACTTTTTTTTATCGAAAGGATGAAAATTGAGGGTTGTATTTTTCAAAGTTGTAAGCGGATTTTGTTTCAGCTTGTAAAATATTTTTTTGGTTTTCCTGAGCATTGTCCGACTCATTTTAGCGAGTTCAATCATGGAAGATATTTTGCATTCAAAGTTGTGTAAGACTGTAGTTGGAAAGATATAAGGATGTGTTTGGTTCATGATGAATACCGTTTGGGCCATATAAGGTTTCCTCGTATACGGGAAATTAGTTTCATCTTTCAGGAAATTAGTTTCATCAAACAAAAGGGGCTTAAGAGTATTTGCATTTGGTATGTTTCAACAATGCTGTGAATTTAATAACGCACAACATAGCAATCTTTGGGAATGCTTTTTTTGACATATTTAAAGATTCTCTCTTTTTTTTTGTTGAAAAATAGGTGAAAAAAATCCACTTCCATTATGACACAAAATGAACGGTTGAGAGCCGAATGTCTAAAAACTAAAATACTTTAAATCTTTTTGGCTCACCACTTGTCAGAAATGCATAAAGGCGATCGGCGGAATCATTTTGCTCTTTCAGAAATGCAAAAACAAGGGGCAGAGGAAGGGAGGGGATAAGAAAAGGGTGGCAGAGGGCATTGTCGGAAACAAAAGCAGCAGGGTGATTACACACGTGTCAAAGGGCAATCAATCCACTCTCAATCCCATGTGGGGCTTACTTGGTTGCTTCTCCTCTCCTAAGAAGTACCCAGAAAGATGTTGAACAAACAATAATGCTAAAACTTACTTTTCCCCCCAAAAAAAAGAAAAAGAAAATTGAAATATACTAAAACAACCATAGTGAATCACATTATGTTCATTTGTTATAATATTATGTGATATTTATTTGTATTAAGTGAATTTCACCGCTATTAATTATGTAATTAATATTCTTATCTTATACTGATGATTCACATTGTGTGATATATAAGGTTCACTCCATTTGTTACATCAATTATCATGGTCAGTCTCTATTAATAATATAATTATATGAACACCCCCCTTTTTCTTGCCCTTTTTCTTCCTGGTAATGAGGGGAGAACCTCAACAAAAACAGATAACACATAAATCAATCCGGCCCTAACAACCCTAAATAAGCACAGCCCAAGTTCAAGGTATGTCCTCAAAAGGTTCCCTTATATCTGTTTTGTCTGTCAATTTACTTCTTAGATTATTTTTTGGGTAAATTAAGAAGTTTGTTTCTAGGGTTTGATTCCAGGGTTTTTGTATTTTGGGGTTTTTTGGTTGTTTTGGGCCTTTTTGTATTTTGGATTGCGCTTTTATTCTGTTTGGTTGAGCCCTTGTTTTATTTTTCTGACTTTTATATTGGGCTTTTATGTAACACTCTATGGTAATGACATGTTCATTCCTTTGACCAAGAAATAAAAAAACCATACGAAAATGATAAAGATAAATTTAGGACTTACTGTCAATTTTTTGGATGTCCATGTTATGAAGAGAAGTTTTGCAAGAGACCTTGGCTAGCTACACATCAAGAATTGCCTAACTTGGTTGGCCTTCATATACATGGATCCAATTTGGTCTTATAATTTCCATGTTGAGGAATTATCAATAAAGCTCTCTCTCCTTTTAAACTATACGAAAATAATAAAGATAAATTTGGGACTCGCCGCGAATTTTTTAGATGTCCATGTTATGAAGAGAAGTTTTGCGACAGACCTTGGCTAGCTACACATCAAGAATTGCCTAACTTGGTACAAGATGCCTACCTTGGTTGGCCTTCATATACATTATCCAATTTGGTCTTCTAATTTCCATGTTGAGGAATTATCAATAAAGCTCTCTCTCCTTTTAAACTACACGAAAATAATAAAGATAAATTTGGGACTCGCCATCAATTTTTCCGATGTCCATGTTATGAAGAGAAGTTTTGCGAGAGACCTTGGCTAGCTACACAATACACATCAAGAATTGCCTAACTTGGTTGGCCTTCACATACGTGTATCCAATTTGGTCTTATAATTTCCATGTTGAGGAATTAAAAGAATGTGATATTTTCTAATTATTTTCTCGCCATTACCAAACTCGGGAAATGAATTTTCCTAATTCTCATCTTTCGGGAAATTATTTTCATCAAACAAAAGGGGGATAAGAGTATTTGCATTTGGTATATTTCAACAATGCTGTGAATTTAATAACGCACAACATAGCAATCTTTGGGAATGCTTTTGATATATTAAAAGATTCTCCCTCTTTACCCCCCCTCCAATGACGGCAAAAAAAGGTCAAAAAGATCCACTTCAATTATGACACAAAACGAACGGTTGAGAGCCGAATGCCTAAAAACTAAAATACTTTAAATCTTTTTGGCTCACCACTTGTCAGAAATGCATAAAGGCGACCGGCGGTATCATTTTGCTCTTTCAGAAATGCAAACACAGATATAATATAATTATATTAACACCCCCCCTTTTCTTGCCCTTTTTCTTCCTGGTAATGAGGGATCAGCAAAAAAAGACAACACAGAAATCAATCCGGCCCTAAAAACCCTAAATAAGCACAGCCCAAGTTCAAGGTATGTCCTCAAAAGGTTCCCTTATCTGTTTTGTCTGTCAATTTACTTCGTAGATTATTTTTTGGGTAAATTAAGAAGTTTGATTCTAGGGTTTTTGTATTTTGGGGTTTTTTGGGTTGTTTTGGGCCTTTTTGTATTTTGATTTGGGCTTTTATTTTGTTTGGTTGAGCCCTTGTTTTATTTTTCTGACTTTTGTATTGGGTTTTTATGTAACACTTTATGATAATGACATGTTCATTCCTTTGATCCAAAAAAAAAAAAAAAAAACACATACAAAAATGGTAAAGATAAATTTGGGACTTACCTCAATTTTTTGGATGTCCATGTTATGCAGAGAAGTTTTGTGAGAGACCTTGGCTAGCTACACATCAAGAATTGCCTAACTTGGTTGGCCTTCACATACACGTATCCAATTTGGTCTTATAATTTCCATGTTAAGGAATTATAAGTAAAGCTCTCTCTCCTTTTAATCACAACCCCCATTAGCAACCGTTGTGTCTTCTGTTAATGTCAGGTTTCAAAAAGAATTAAGGATAGTTTGGCCACTTTCGAGTAAATTATGAAAAACCTTGGTGGTGATTAAAATGCTCTATTAAACGAAAACTCATTCCAATTGGACATATAGCTAAAAGCCTAAAAGAGAAACAAGTTCATCATGATAAAATGGGGCATTCAACTCATGGTCGAACAAAGAAAACTAGGATACAATGCAGCAGTACTTTTAATGTCAACATTAATTCCACGGAGTAGAATTACTGAATATTTGTTTAGATCACAACTTCAAACATAGATTCTTCTACTTTCTGATTAAGCACCTCTACAAAGTCCCACTACTGAGAGTAGTCCAAGCTTTGACTCCGGCTCCTACTAAAGCTGCTGCTACGGCTCCTTGAACCATGGGGAGATCTTGAGCGTGATTGCTCCCGGTACCTTCTGTCCCTCGGTGAAATTGACCTGAATCAGAACAAGAAATGCTGAGTAAAACAGTTCTCATAGTAATATTTCCCCCTTTTACTGGTGCATATAGGTAAAAGATCAAAACAAATAAAATTAACGTTAGCGCATGCCTTGAGTACCGCCTCCGCCTAGGAGAAGGTGAATAGTAATCAGGACTTCGAGAGTAGGTTTGAGCATATCGCGGTGATCGAGAATAACGAGAGGAAGACCGTCTTCTATCGTATGACTGACCCCTAATATCAAATAACAAAGAATATATAATTACAAGACAAATTGGTGGGGGATATGAAGTTGAACAAGTATAAACTGATCACATAGATGATCAAATTTTACAAATCAAATTTTTAGATCAAAACGAGTCACTAAGATAAACATGATTGAACACCCTTGTAATCCTTATCTGTTAAATAGAAAGACAGAGAAACCATCTAGACCTGTAGCAAATTACTCTATTTAAAAATAGAACATCTACAATGTAGGGGGTATGTCCGTCAACAACAACATTACTTACCTAACACGATCTCTTGCCCTCATTTCTGATGGCTTCTTTCTGTTTTCCTCAGCAAATACGACTGTTACTTCCCGTCCAAGGAGAATTTGCCCATCCATATGGTATTTGGCATCTGCAGCATCAGCAGGGTCTACAAACTGAACAAATCCAAAGCCACGTGGCTCCCTGAACCATACAATAACAGTCAGTATAACAAAAAAAGAAATACACAGTCTTCTATCAATGTTACTGGAACCTTCTAGTATTACAGAAAATCCATATATATGGTTGAAACTCCAGCATGTTTTACAATGAGCATCATAAGCACAAATAGCTCCCCAGACTTTATACAATTCAAGTGGAAACATCACTGGCTGCTAACCTTGTTGGAGTCAAGGATAAAATTGAGTTGAAATTCTTCAAGACTTCAACTTCTTCTCAATGTGTTCAAACCAACTTTCTTCACATCTTCATGTACACTAAGACCACCTTGAACACTCTTACTTACTTGATTGGTCTCTTCAAAACAAGACTCTATATACTTCATTGTTGTCTTCAACACTTTCAATAAAAACAACCAAATTCCAATAAATATTTAAAAATGCCAAAAACAAATTTACTATTCCCGTCATCAAACACTCAGATCAAACCAAAACAATTGTCCCAATTCACAAGTTTTAGTTCAATTCAACCACAAAATACTCCCAAAAATTTCACATAATTTTTTAAAACAAAATCCCAGAATTTGCATAGATAAAAAGCATTCTTACCCAGTATAATAATCCCTGGGCAAGTAGATGTCCTTGAGGGGGCCAAATTGCCCAAATGGCCCACGTAAATCCTCTGGCCTGCAAACCACAAGCAGGAATATAAATTTCAGGACTTAAAAAATCAGAAGAACATAATTTTCTAATCAATGCAACAAAACCCAATTGCAGGAATATAAATCAAGCACAACCACAAATTTAAATCCTACAAAATTATTACCATAAAATACATATTCTGCAAGAAACAGAATAAATAATAAAATACCTGCAGTTATGGCGAAGATTGCGAACCAAGAGACTGCTGGGAAGATCCCTACCACGACCTCCATAGCGACCTCTAGGGCTAGGGCTACGACGTCGTCTGCTGTAACCCCTAGGCGGTGAAGGGCTGTAACTATAACTCCTACCCCTCATTTTCTTTCACCTACAACAGTCATCACGACAAATTACAAACCAAAATCGAAAATGAACCCTAATTTCATCATAACATATTAAAAACCGAAATTGAAGACGAACCTAAAGAAAAAGAAGAAGACTTACGGTATCGAGATTTGGGAACGCGATCGAAACTACGGGAACTGGTGTTTTCTGATCAATGTTATGGTTGTTGCTTCTGTGAGTCTCAGATTGGCATTAAATAATTACATTCGAGAAGGTTCGGCTGAGGAGGGCTATTTTTGTCTACTTCCTCCGGATATGTGTTTTGATGAGACGTGGCGAAATCCAGCCGTTGATATGTATTGGATGGCTGTGATTGGATAGTAACGTCAGGGGTAACTATGTCCGCATTTGGGCTACAACTTTCAGGCTCATAGCCCCAGGCCAGTATTTGGGCTATAGCGTTTAGGCTCGTGGGCTCATGTCAAAGTCCGTGTACACGCCCGAGTTTTAAAAGTTGCAAGAATTATATAGTGAGGCCCAGAGGCGGACGCACGTTGGGACAAGAGGGTCGACCCCTTGGAATGCCTGAAATTTGGCTATGGGCTCCATGGACGACCCCTTGGACAGCTGCGGAGCGACCCCTTCTGTGCACACCAGGTGCTTGACGAAAGTCCCAGCCTGTCTGTGTCTTGTGTTGGTTTGCCATGGAATCAATAGACCATTTGTTTTCGATTGTGCACTGATGCAAAAGCCAAACCAACTTTCGTGCTGCTCTTGTTTGTGAAACAATGGAAGAAAGTCTCTTCGTTTAGTTAGCAGTGAGGGAGTGGCGAGGGAGGCTGGGAAGAAATAAACAGAGAGAGAAAGAAAGGATAAAAAAAGAGGGGTTGGCTGGAAGAAGAAGGAAAATAATAAAGAAAGTATGGGGTTAAGGAGTCTTGGAGCCTAGAGTTTAGTATTGTAGACATCGTATACACCTCTTACGTGTTGAAGTTTGGGGATGCTTTTTCTTTTTCCTTTCTTTTTTTCTGCGCACTTTTGTAGTTATATTTATTTTGTTGTTGGCAATGGCATATTTGATTAAAACCATTTATAATCATAAGTTATCTTTTATTATGTTATATCACAATTGGAACTCAAAAAAATAGAGAATTTGAAAGAGAAAAAATAGATAAGAAAAAGAAAAACTCTCTAATTTTTTTTTGGAATATTTACACTATGACCACTTGGGTTACAGATCCTGGATCCGCCTCTGGTGAGGCCTTACTGTTGACGTGAGTACTATCTGTCCTAGTAATATTTTTGTTGCTTTTCCACTTATTGTCATGGCAACTCAAGGGTAATTACTATTCACATGAGATTAATTTATTTATATGTATGAGATTAATAAAAATAAATAAAAATATGCTAGGTATGTATTAAAAAATATTCTGAATATTTTGGTAATTTTTCATATTTTTTATTTTATTTTTCGTTACTGACGTCAATGCCCTCAGGCAACAGCTCGGGTTGCTCTTGCCTTCGGGGCTACCCAAGCTTGGTGGAGCCCACCATCTGCTCGAATTGGATTCAACCGTTGGAGTCCCATTATGCTCGCTTGGTGGGCCTTTTTCCCTGCCTAGGCTAACGGGTGGAACTGCTATTATATATGGCCCTTAGGTGAGGCCTTATTTCTTAACCGTTAGATCAAATTGGTTAGCCTGATCCAATGGTTAAGATATAGAACCTTACTTAAGGGTCATATATAAGGCCCACACTATAAAATGACTCATAAAAGTTGTTAGAAACCAATTGGCAAAAGTTTACTTTTGGTCCTTATAGTTTATTGTTTTTACCACTTTAGTACCTATATAGGCCCTTTTTGGTACACCTCCTTCGACTGGCTTGATTGGACTAGCTTAAATAACACCTTTAACCTATGTTTGGTGCAACCCTCCGTTAAGTTAAATGAGATTAGATAATCCGGGCCTTAAAAAAAGGCTTCGCTTGTTGGCACAAAATAGCGAGCTCTGAAGAGGTGCTGCTAAATAACGAAGTCATTATCGAGTCTGCCATTATCCTCTTCGACGTTGCTCTAGCTCTCCTCTTCCGCTTTGCTTTGTTTTCCTCTTCTGTTGTGCTCTGCTCTCACTCACTCAAGGTTAGTTGTTCAACTCTCTTTCTCTCTTTCCACTCTTCTTCTATGTTTGTCTCTCTCCTTGGTGATATTTGATGGGTTCAATCTACTATTTCTTGGTTTGATTTTTAAGTTTTGATTATGGGGTTGTTTGTAGTTAGCTTAATCTGATGAAAATTAAGATTTGTATTGGTTAATTTTCTTTGGATTATAATTCGGTATTTTTCTTGGGTTTTCAATGTTGAGTTGTTTTGATTATGGGGTTTTTGTTTGGATGAGAATATATGAACAAACTGATGGGTGGAATTGGAGCATTGTGGATAGTCGCGTGATGATGATATAAAAATATAGAAAAAAGAAGAAATGGTTCTCATGTCTGATTGGGTTGATTTCCCTAAACCCTTAAAAAAAAAAAGGGGAAAACCAAGTTTTCTTTTGATTTCTAAAGAAAAAATGTGTGTTTTTATTTCAGAACCCAAAATTTTATATATTCTATCTTTTGATAATGTTTAAAACAAACAAAGGTAATTGAAAAGCATGGTTGGAAGTGCAGCTTGTTCCAAATGTTGTTTCCAGCTCACCTCAGCTTTTTTTTTTTGTTGTTAAGAAGCTCAATCCTTTTGTTATCCAAACCATAACTCTGTTTTATTTTGGAAAGTGTAACTGTACAAGATTTTGCTTCTTGCCATCAATTAATTCCATTTGCAGTCAGAGAACTAATGATTTTGGCAATCTTGTTTGGATTGTTTGTATTGCTTGCAGGGTTTATAATGGCATTGTCTGCAACTATTCTTAGCCATATTGATATGGTTGAAAACTCTTCACCATTTAAGCTCAACAATATCTCTGTTCAAGTCTGTTTGTACAATATATGGCCAAGCATTTCCAAGCATTTCCAAGCTAATCCAAGCAAAGGGAAGGGAGTCCCACATCGACAAAACACAAGAGAAGGGGACTCTCCCTTCCCTATAAAAGAAGACCCTTCTCCTTCAAAGGAGAGGGAGGAAGAAAGGGAGGAAGAAAGAGGTTGGGCAGGCTACTAGGGCCTCATGGGCTTACCCATGAGCCCATTTACAAGCCCACGAATCATCGGCCATCAGCCAGATCATCTGCCTTCGGCCATCAGCCTTCGGCATCTGCCTTCAGCCTTCGGCATCTGCCCTCAGCCTTCGGCATCTGCCTTCGGCCTTCGGTATTCTTCCTCTTCCCCTTGGGTCTAACCCTATGTGTATACACACATTATTATAATGAGAACATACTTCTCTGTGGACGTAGCCCATTATTCAGGTGAACCACGTACATTTGTCTTCTGTATGCATGTCCATTTATTTACCGATTGCTCTTACATACTGAGGGTCCTCACCCTCAACATCCACCTCGTCTTTAAGTTGGCCTACATACTACCTGTCTAGTTTTAGCGCAAACAAAGTCACTTGATGCTGATATAAAAAAAGCCTTTGTTGAGCAATTGCTCAATGAAAATGCTTGAAGGAGGCAGCATCCGATAAATTGGAAACACCACAAGTGCATCTCCCACCTTAGAAACACCACAAGTAGCTGCTATTGCTTTTGTTTTTGCTGCTTTATTAGTCTCAGTTTGGAATTATGGATGTTTATTTTTATATGTGGGTTTTTGGTTGATTATTATTACTGTTAGTCTGTGAGCTTATGGAAAGTAATATGTGAACTTGAATTTGTAGTTTCAAGCCATGTGGATGAATTTTGCATATATATAAAATATCTCACTTTTGCATTTTTTTGCTTGATATGATGTTGGGATGGTTTGGAGCTTGTCTCACCATGTTTGAACAAAGAAATGAAGAATAAAAGGGTAGAGGTCATGTGGCTAATGGTTCGACAATTGATAGACATTTTGTTTTTGCAAACTGTGATGGCAATTGTATATTGTGTTTGCAATTACTTAGTGATGATTTGGCAATTTGCATAAGGGAAGTGTTCTTAAAATATAGGCAAGTTTTGGAAAATTTAATACCAATTTTTGGCCTTGGAATTATAATAAAAATAGTTGATAATTAAAATATTATCACTTCAAAGAAAATTTTAAATTTTCTTGTCCCAGTTTGAGCATAAACCAAACACAGGATAGTACTATTTTCGTTATCCAGCTTCTTAGTCCGACATAGCACCAAACGTAGGTCAGTACTTAATCCAGCTTAGATCAAGCCAAGTCAATCCACGACAGTCCCAGGATTTAGTCCCGTCCATAACAATCCGCCGTACCAAACGACCCCATAGTTTCAATTATGTCAATTTTATCATTGTAGTAGTTTCAATTTTGACCAATTCAAGGACACGTTTCAATTTCTGTCAAATTCCTCCAAATTACATCAAGTTTTGACCACGTGCCCTTCATGTGGAGGTTCACTCGAGCCATCTAACAATAAAACACAAACTGGAACTCTTCTCATTCACTATAAGCGTTATTTTGGGGCGCATGGTTTAAAAAAAATTTACATCTCTGATTTGAAATTAGGGAAAATTTGAAGGAATTTGGGAGGAATTTGGCTCAAGTTTACCAAAATACCCCTCTATGTGAGTGGCACCTGGTTAAAACTTAACATAATTGAGAGGACTTTTGTCAGAAATTGAAATGTGTCCTTAAATTGCTTAGAATTAAAAACTATAAGGATAAAATTGACAAAGTTGAAAACTACAAGGATAAAATTGCAAAATTTGAAACTATAGGAACCCAAGTGGTAAAACCGAGAAACTACAAAGACTATAAATGACTTTTTGCCCAACCAATTTATCCCTTTTTTATATGAGTGATATTTGGGAGATGGAGAAATCGAACAATGTCATGAGTGCATAAGTAAACATTCTTAACTACTAAGGAGACCCCTTACAAGACCAATTTATCCTTTAAATGGATGTAATATACCACGATTATGTGAGAAATATCAATTATGCTCTTACATATTAAATAACTTAAACAGAAGATTTTAAATATTTGTATTGGTACGTATTAATATAATTTATGATGAAGGGGATTTGAATTTGGGTCTAAAGGTACGAACTCAGTGTCTTGACCACCTAAGAGCATGTCTAATGCAAGGGCAAGGGGCAAGGGGTTAGGTGATGTTTTAGCCCCTCAAAATAGTACTATTCACAAAATATAGCCTCTCAATTTTTTTTGTGGTTCTAGTGGTGCTGAGGGGCTAGGGGCTAGGAGCTAAACTCAAAACTTGTTATTTTAGTTTATTATTATTTTATTTGTGAAAAAAAATCAAAGCATAAGAAAAGCAACACAAAAATTTATTTTTGGAAACAATTTTAAGCCATACTTTGGAACAACAATTTTTAGCAAAATGAAAAAAGAAAAACAAGTAGAAATGTTTGGAGTAATTGCGAGATTTTTAGAGGTGAGAAGGTGATGAACAAATGGTTAGGTTTTTATATAGTTGTGAGGGGAAAAAAAAAAGATTGAACTAGTTGGGAACTGAAAAAGAAAAAGAAAAAAAAAGGGTTAGCAACTAATCGTTGGGCTGTTACATTTTAGAGCACCACGTGGTAGCTCTGTAACATCTAGGAAAAAATTAAAAATAAAAATAAAATAAAATAAATGGATATTAATAAAATATGTGGTTAACTTAATTATGAGTTATAAATAAATTTAGTCTTTATATTATAAATTAAATAATTAATTATAATTATTAAAATAAATAAATAAATAAAATATAAAATAACAAAATAAAAAAAAAATAAAAAAAAGAAGTTTGGAGGCAACGTGTAAGCCCAGCCTTCTTCCCTCCTTCATTCCTTCCCCCTTCCCTCATACAATCCCTTCAAAAAATTCTGGTTTGATCTCAATAGATGACTCACCTAGTCTAAGCTAAGAAAAAAATTAATTGCTAAACTAAGATAAATTTTCGGATGAAAGAAATGGAAGTTGGGGTGAGGAAGAAAGGAGGAGATAGGAGGAAGAGAAGAAGAGAGTTTCTAAGGTGAGTTGATTTCGAAATTTCTGGTTTTAACCTTGTGGTTGTGTGATTTTAATCTCTTAAAGAATAATTTGAGTCAATTGAATGTTAGGAAGATTGAATTGGAAGAGGTTGAACCTCTATTTTCGGATTGGGTGTATAGAGCATTTTTTTTTCAACTATGGGTGTTGTTGATTTTGGTTTCATTTTGAGTTTTGATGAGTTCAATTGATAGGTATGAAGTTAGAAAAGTTTTAGAAGCCTTAGGAACCACTTGGGGTGTTAGAATGGTTGAAAACAACTTTGAACAAAATCTGGAAAATGTTATTTTTCTGGAAATTTTCAGCCGGCGAGCCTCACTTTGGATCTCTATTTCTCCCAATATTTTGAGTGTTTGAGGAAGTAATTTGTTGGATTGTAAACTAGACATGGCAAGGAACAAAAATAAATTAGTTTCGTCGAATTTGGTTGAGTTTTGATAGGTTGAACACTTGTACAAAGTTTGGAAAAAAGTCTGTTTTCTGCAGAAAAATCAGTCACGAGCCTAATTTTGGAGCTGGTTTTCTCCTTCGTTTTAGATCCGTTTTCAGTTTGGGTTGTTGGTTTAGAAACTATAGATACTAGGCTTCAAAACCATTTTGAGTTTGCCCATTTTCGTTGACGTTTGGTTGGTCAAAAGGCCTCACAAAATCTGGGATTAAAAACTAGAAAAAAACGGGGGAAGTTGCTGGATTTTTGAAGACGACGGGTGGCGGCTGTTCCGGCAGCCTCCGACGCCATATTTTTAGTCCATCCGACTCGATTTCTCGATCCGAGTCCGACGGTATAGGTTTCGGGACTTTTTGAGGGGTTTAGCTTGGAGAGTGGGGTGCACTCTCTATGTTAAGAGAGAAAAATATTTTTATAAAAATTAGATTTTTCTAACTTCATTGATGTTATTTATTTATTTTCCAAATCTAGGAACGGGAGAGAACCCGACCACCTCTGAAGGGTAATTTCGTCCTTTTAGCTTCTTGGATACGAGGTAGGGTCTCTAACTTTTCCCCAATGATTAGACTATATCACTGTTAATCTTGGTGTTTATATATAATATTAAATATGAATATCGTGTTGTTTTGCTTGGTGTGTATCGTTAGGTGAATGCTAATGTTGTTTTATGGATGTTTATTGAATATTATATGATGTTTGATGAATATTACTATCCGTGGGAATAAATTTGAAATATTATTGTTTTTATTTGAATTGTCATCATTCCACAAACAATTGAGCTACATTTACATATGGATCATAAATACAGTTGTGTTGGGTCTGTGCGTAGTTTAAGGTATATCTAAAGGGTGGGAGAAGACTTTAGATATATCAGGAAAAAAATGTGGAATATATTCGGGTGACGGGAGCAGAGCTTGAATATATTAAGGTGATGGGAGCAGGGCCTCTAACAAAAAGTGAAAGTTGAGAAATTCGTAAACAAAATGAACTTGGGGTAAGGGACGAATGGGCACTAATTTGTATTTTAGGGTATTCGGAGCCACAGTGGTAAAATGCATGGTATGGGACATGCAGGCTTGATGCTCTAAAGTATGAATTAGTGGGTTTAGAATAGAGCTGGTAAACGGGTCATTTTAGCGGGTTTCGGGTCGTTAACGGGTTAACCCGTTTTCTTAACGGGTTAACACGAACACGACCCGTTAAGTTAACGGGTGACAAATACTAGACCCAAACACGACCCGTTACTATTCGCGAATATCCGACACGACCCATTAACCCGTTAAGAATAAACCCAGAAAAAAAAAGGAAAAAAAACACATAGCCAGCAACCATTGTCTCTCTCATTTTTCTCTCAATTTCCATCTCATAAACACCATCCATAAAACTTTCATGACCATCCAGAAAACTTACATAAAGAAAAGCAAGAAAAGAAAAAAATGGCTGATTAGATTAGATTATTTATATATAAAAGAAGACAGAGAGGAAGAGACGAGAGATGCAGATAAAAAGTGAAGAAGAAAAAAAAAAAGATGGAGAATGACGGAAAGAGGAAGAAGGAAAAGAGAAAAAAGAGATGGAAAGAAGAAGAAGAAGAGAGTGGGAGGTCACAAGAAGAGAAAAAAAAAAGGTTGATTAGATTAGATTAGATTAGATTAGATTATTTATCCAAAAAAAAAAGACAGAGAGGAAAAGACGAATAAGAAGAGAAGAAAACAAAGGAGAGATGGAGAATGACGGAGTGAGGAAGAAGAAAAGGAAAAATAAAAAAGAGATGGAAAGAAGAAGAAGAAGAAAAGAGAGAGTGGGAGGTGAGAGACAGTAAACAGAGAGAGAAAGAGGAAAGATGGAAAAGGAATATAAAAAAAAGAGGAATGGTGTTGGAGTTGGAGACGGATATTTTTTTTAAAACACATTTAGCAAAACTACCAAATTACCCTCCTTAACGGGTGGATGCGAATATTCGCGAATTGACTCGACCCAACCCGTTAGCTTAATGGGTGGCTAACGGGTTCACCCGTTTTCAACCCGACCCATTAAGCTCAATCCAAATACTGATAATTTCGTGCGAATTCGTGTCGTGTTAACGGGTCGTGTGCAATATTGCCAGGTCTAGTTTAGAAGGGAGTGAGTTCATGACATCATCGCATATGCATGACTTATTTATTTTGTAATTGTGTAATGCATGCCACTTTGGTTAGCGGTGATAGCTGGCTTTGAAGGGGGGGATGTTACAGTACTCTACTGGGCATTAAAATGCTCACACCCTAATAGATGTTGCAGGTTTCAATGCAAATTCTGAGGAAGGAGAAGTTCCACCAAAGGACTAGATCAGTGTTGTTAGATACTGTTTGTAAAATTATTAAGGAATAAGTTGTGTGTTATATTACTGTAGTGTGTGTAACTAACTTTGAGCTACTGTGACTCTGACTTTGTACTTATTAAAATAAGTTTGTAATATTATTGACTCTATTTCTATCATATCATAGTTATCAGAGTTTGTTTTTATAACTATGGTATGATTCATGTCTTAATTCGGAGATAATCCCTATTTTCGAATCGAGGCGTGACAAGCTCCTCAATGATTGTTGGCATCAGCTTTTGCTGCTCCTTTTTTTATTTTAAAAAACTAACAGTGGGTCCCTTATCTTGGTCGGCCAACATGTGGGAATAACTAGCCCCTCATCTTGCCTTAGTCCAAACACATGCATTAGAAAGTGATTTTTTTCATTTGAGGCCAGATCTGGACCTAGCCCAAGCCAGATCACTCAGTCCCATTAGACATGCTCCAACCAAACCCACATTCAAACTCCAACCCATATAATGAAGAATGAATTAGGGTTGGATGGATCAACCTTCAACTGTGCTCAAATTACACTGTACCAATCCAACTAACAATCCATTGGTAACATCATATGTGTAATTTACTCCAATAAATTTCTCTAGTGCATTGAGTGTGAATCACCAAACGATATTGTTGTATATTTTATTTTGGTCGTAAACGACATTGTTGTATAAGAAAAAAGCCTTATTAGGAATGGCAATGGATCTAATCAGGGGTGGGTATGCCATTCCCATCCCCATCCATGCCTTCATACTCGCAATATTCAAATCAGGTATTCCCCATCCCAGCCTTTGTTGGGGAACGAGTTCCCCGACCCACCCAATTACGACAAAAAAACAAAAAAAAGAAACGCTTATTTACTGTAGTGCCCCCCGAAACTATGGTTAAATCTCACTTTACGCCCTAAAAGTTAAAGTGACCCAGAGTACCCCTTTGACCAAGGTTTGGTGGTTCACTTCGCTCTCCATTGTTAACTATATTAAAATTCTGTTAAAAATGCTGATGTGGCACAAATAGGACCCATTCTTTTGTTAAAATATATGCCATGTAAGTGCCACATGTGAAAAAAATAATAAAATATTTTATTTTAAAAAAATTAGAAAATTACATTACTTCTTTCTCCCCTTCTCTCTTCTCTCCCCCTCTTTCTTTCTCTGTACCCGACTCCCTCCCCCACCAACCCACTTGGGGCAACCATCACTGCCCCAACTCCTCCCTACCAGCTCCTCTCCTCCATCTAACTAGCTTCGCCACCTCAAAATCCTCAAAACCATTCCTTCCCCAACCAAACCCATCTCCAAAATCTCAACTTTCTGTTGAGATTTTCTTGCCTACCAAATAGAACCCTAAAACTCCAATAATTTTCTAAATCCTAAAACAAAAACAAAATTTAATTTATAGACAAAAGGAGCGCCCCCCAACCCTATTGGTTTTGATTTCTTGAATGGTTTTGGGTATTATACCTCTTGATTTGTATGATGTTTGAATGAGTTTGAATGGGTTTGACTTTCGATTTGGGGTTGTGCTTTGCTGCTTAAATTCAAGCATAGAATTTTAGTAATTAAAATTCAAGCACAAGAATTTCTGTAATGGCATGTGATTTGCTACTTATCTTTACCATTAATGTTTACCAAACAAAAGAAATCTTTACTACTAACCTATCAAATAAATATTTACTTACTAAGCTATATTACAAATCCCTTTCGCCACCAATTCCTCCACCAACTTCTCCATCACCGCCTTCCCCAACCCTAATCCTAGCCCTAGCCGTTGAAACGAGGGGTCAACCACCACGTCTCATATGATCGCGTTGAAAATGCCGTCCCCTGTTGCTCTTGCAAATGCCACAGGCCTCTTCGTCTTCTTGTACTTCATACACAGTAGCGAGTCGGTGTGCTCCAACGCAGTTTGGAATGAGTGGTTTTGGGGCTGCTAAGCTGGTTATAGCGAGGGGAGGAGCTGGTGGGGCAGTGGTGGCTACCCCAAGTGGGTTGGTGGGGTGCGAGGTCGGGGCTCAGGTAGATTGAAAGAAATAGGTAGAGAGAAGAGAGAAGTAATGTAATTTTTTTTTCTTTTTGTGTTTGTCAAATTTTTTAATTAAAATATTTTATTGTTTTTTTTACATATGTCACTTAGGTGACATATATTTCAACAAAAGAGTGGGTCCTATTTGTGCCACATCAGCGTTTTTAACAGAATTTTTAACAGAGTTAACAGTGGGGGGTAAAGTGAACCACTAAACCTTTGCCAAGGGGATACCCTGGGTCACTTTAACTTGTATGGGTTAAAGTGAGGTTTGACCATAGTTTTAGGGGGTACTACAGTAAATAAGCCTACTACTTTGTTGAACAAGAAAAAAAGTGAGCACAAGATATCTATCAATTCAATTTTTATTAACTAAAAATCTAGACTATCTAAAAAAATTATTACATGTTAAAACCATGTCCAAGACATGATCATCATTATAGAGGTAGCACCACCATCACACATCTTTATAATATATTTATATGAAAAATAAATTATATATATTCTAAACAGGGCATGTTCGGACCCAAATACCATACCCGAAAAATTCTTCGAACTTGTCTGTATACCCTTTTTTATCCTTCATATCCAACCCATTATTATTGAAGTCTCGTGAAGACCCTTACCTGTGGGAAAATTGCCAACCCTAAGAGCATCTCCAAGGATGTAGGTAAATGAAATAGGCAAAGTTGTACTATAACAACCTAGGTGGCATGTTGCCTACCCATTTGCCTCATGAAAAAAGTTGGTCACTGCAAGTCTACAAATTATTATTATATTATTTATTTTTATCTTTTACATTTACTATTATATTTATAAAAATTAGGTGAGAGAGTGGAGATAATATTTTATTATAAAAAGAAAGTGGGGCCTGATATACCTTTCACTTTGAAGTAGGCAATATTGCCTTGTTGGGGAGAGTATGTATATATTGCCTACCCATTTGGCTCTTCCCTTAGAGCATGAAAATGTTGATGTGGCAAGTCAAATGAGTTTTGCCTACTCTTTTGCCTCTTGCCTTGGAGATGCTCACTATTAGGGTTGACATTTTAGACTGAAAAACCGCAAATGATGACTGAGGTTTTACTGCATATAAACTGACCTATCACGAAAACCGACTGCAACATTCGGTTTATAGAACCGATCGCAATATGCGGTTGTGATTCCTCATATCCAAATAATGTGGTATATCGCAAACCGCAATATAATTTAATCAATTATTAAAATAAATACTTATAATTATTTTATATTAATTAATAGAGGCTAGGACTTCATCATTTAGATGAATCTTTCTCTCTTGCTCTCTCTCTCTCTTGCTCTCTCTCTCTTGCTCTCTCTCTCAACTTCTTCCTCTCTGTAGGACTCACCTAGGCTTTAAATGTATTACTAATGAAGTGTATTCTCTGACTATTGTTTTTTTATTTTTAAATCTTAGTCTTGAAGAAATATCATTTAAATATTTAGTGAATTAATATAACTTAATTAGTAAATAATTAAACTTTTATATAGTAGGAACCTGAGTTTCAATTAGTATTGCAAACTCATTGGTTGTGTTGGTAATTTTGTTAAGTTGTTATTAATGGGTTAGCCCAGATAATCTCTAGCTTGCAATAAACTATTTAGTTGATTAATTGTGCATTAGCAGGATTGTGTATTGTATTGGTTTATTCTTAATAATAAAGTTCATTCTCTCCGTATATGAGTTAAATAGTCGTTGTCAATGATAGAAAGTTCTGATTATTTCAGCAGTATTTTTAAGCATGTGCATACTTTTTTTTATTGATAGAAAGTTTTGTAATGTTATGTTGTTTTCTATACCGACAATTGCGGTTCATGATTCATTTTTTTGCCATACCGTAATATATCGGTTGTTTCACGGTTTCATTAAAAAGTTGTGGTAACGGAACCGCAACCAACCCTACTCACTATGGCAAAAAAAAAAGAAAAAAGGGGCCCTACTATAAACTTACGACGCCGTTTGACTTGATCCTCCTCACCCACTCGCCCTAAACCCTTGCAGTCTGCTGCTCTATAGACTCTACCTTTTCTCTATCTCCCAAAGCTTTTCTTCTAAAACCTCTAAAACCTCTAAAACCCCAATCCCTGAAGCAACCCACGCACAATATATATACATATCACTCGTTGCATACAGCCACCACTATCGTTTTGTGAAAATGGCGGCGTCCTCCGAGAAACCCCAAGGCAAGAAGAAGGCTCGAGACCCCCCAAAGTTCAACAAGTCCTCCAAAAAGCCATTCAAACCAAACAAGGACCGAAACGACACCGCCCGGTCCGAAGCCGTCGCTTTGCAGCTCGAAGATGACGTTCCTGATTTCCCCAGAGGTTCGAACTTCAGTAGTTTTTGTTTCTCAATTATGTGTTTTTATATTGAACTATATTGGCAATTAACGGGGTCTAAGTTGTTGATTTTTTATTTTTTTGAATTGAAGGTGGAGGAAGTGCTTTGAACAGACAGGAGCGCGATGAAATTCGCGCTGAAGTCGATGCAGAATTTGAGGCAGAGGAGCGGGAGATGAAGAAAAGAAAGAAGATAGGGATGCAGAAGAAGAGTCTCTCATCGGAGGACGATTTGGGTTCGCTTTTCGGTGATGGTATTACTGGAAAACTACCTAAATATGCAAACAAGATCACTATGAAGGTATCCATCTGAAAACATAAAGCATCGTGATTTCTAACTTTCTTTTTAAAGAATTTAAATTTTCTCATGTGCATATATAAATGTTTGTATGTATAAGACAGCTAAGATAAATGACGTTATTACACTCTGCCAAGTGAAGTTTTTGTAGTTCACCTATAATACTTAATACCCTTAAAAAATTATGTACAGTATTGTAGATTTTTTTTAGTCCATGCATCATGTGGGATTTTCGTTTTTTTATTTTGGGTTAAAAATTGTTGATGTACTTATACCTGCATGTCTGGTCAGAACATATCTGCTGGAATGAAGGTTTGGGGAGTTGTTGCTGAAGTAAATGAGAAGGACCTTGTAATTAGCCTTCCAGGGGGATTGCGCGGATTAGTTCGAGCTTCTGAAGCTTTGGATCCTATTTTGGATAATGAAACGAAGGTAATGATAAACATTTCTTTCCCT